ATAGTTTTGAACAGCAGCGGTAATACTGTCGGAGAGGTCTGGGAGTTCTCTGTGACACACGCGTTTTGGTGAGTGACACACGTCTGTGAGAGAATGTTTGTCACAAATATTGGTATATCAAACCAAGTTATCCTACGTTCTGTTGATGGAATTTATTGCGTGTATCAAAAATCCTGTTCAGCTTTATCGGACCAAAAGTACCTGCGCTCGACAGGATTGCCCAAAACGTGAAAGGATTGTTACAACTGCAGATATAGGCAATCGAGTAAAAGCAATGTCATCACTCGAAGAATCGTGAAATGAATTAGTGTAGCTGTTCGGCTTCAGTTGGGACCGACATTATTTCTGACATATATCACAGAAATTGTACAAACACGAGAATAGTTTTTCAATTTTTTCATAAGTGTTTCTGTTTCAATCATGTGACGAGGGAATTCTTTCACTTTTTATCAGGTAGCGACTCTTTGCTACCGCACCTCTTCAGCATTAGTCGAAATAAACTGATTTCCTCTAGTATTTAGATGTTGGGAAACAGCTGTTTCAAAATTTGAACATAAAGACATCTCCTTCTGTGGTGAAGTCGTCAAAAGACTGAATGAAGTTGCATACAAAGAAGCGAGCCGACTTCGGTATAAAAAAGATACAACAAAAATCATGAAGATCCATACAAATACAATGGAAGACGAGCAAGCTTATAATCATTTTTTTAACAATATATAAAACTAAATTTTATAGAGACTGCTGGCGATGTAACACAGATATGATCGCTGAGCCTGCACACTTTATTGATGGAAATCCACCATTCCTTTTCGTGGACATTAGTCATCCCACGATTGAAGATCCAAGAACTAGAGAATTACCATCGGTTAGTCTCAACTTCCATGATATTCAACGTAGTGTTCAAATTGGCTCAGTGACGTAAGTAGTCAAAATTAATATCTTGGATTTTGACTATAATTCAAAATATTTCGACTCAGTAGAAGAACATGTGCAACAGGTGTTTCGCGTAGTTTATTGCAGAACTCGTGTTACTTTCATGAATTTAAATCTGTTCGAAAGCGGTGTAGTTGATCATATTTGTTCGCGCAAACTATCACTGACACGTGAATATTACTTTAATACTCTTAGCCACAAACGACCATATCAAATATGTATGAAAAATAGGAATATTTGTTCGTTAACAGAGTTAGTATAGAACAGTTAGTATATTACCGTTTATTCAATGTATTTAATAGATAAACTGAATTTTGAATTTTTTTTCTTTTATATTTATCTCTTAATATGTGTTTAATATAGGTGTTGGCACGAGGCCTTACCTCTTTAATATGTGTTTAATATAAGCGAGGGAGCAATTGAGAGTGTATATAAACTTTATACTATAAAGTAGCAAAAATAAAATTGCTGTGCGCTCTTGAGTTCATTGTCTAAGTGAATCTGAGGTGAACGGTCTAGCTTGATTGCATCATGTTCCAGAAGAGAAATCCGGGTAAAACATGATGAAATCAGCGCCATGGTGAATTCAGTGCAGATTACATCGTGTTCTTGAAGAAAAGTCCGAGTGATGTAACCAAGTCTAAAAAAGGGATACCCCCAGATATCGATTCTTATATAAGAATCTCGCAAGGCATTCACAAGAAACATACAAAATACCTGTCAGCTTTACATACGTTTCTGATAAGATTTTCATATAAGATGTTCACTGGTTTTTATAAGAAACTTATAAGAATCTTATATAAGAATCTTATCAGAAACTTATAAAAATTCTTGTAGCAAGTGGTTGAACTTTCCAAGGAACGGGCTTAACTTACTTGAAATTCTGCATAATTGTTGGTGCTGAAAGAATTGAAAATAAGTTCTTCAATATTTTAGTTGTCTATGTAGGATTTTTTGATCTTAGCAGAACTCGAAATGAGAAGCCCAATCATTTCCTCGTTGCTTTTTCGAAGAGCGTGTTTATAGTTCTTCTTTTCTGATATTTATACCTTTTATTATATCTTTATTTTTGTTACTTTGTCCACCTTTGGCTTGAGTCATTGTTATACGGTCGCGAACCTTTGATGACCCTCGCTTTTCGTAAATAAAATAAAATAAATTAATAAGTCTGTGAAGAACTGTATTATCTATTTATTACATGATATTTTACCCGGTTTTTTCTTCGGGAACATGGTGCAAAGGGTGGAAAGTTTGATGCATAATGAGTATCTAGCAACATGGCGAAAGTCCATATGATCGGGAAAAGTTCAACAAATTGATTACATTATGTTCGCGAAGAAACGTCCGAGTAGAACATGGTGTAATCAGGGCTGAAAAGCGGACCCATCCCCCATACTTATTTCAAGACGCAAAGGAAATTTGTCTGATTTTCGGACGGAAAAATGTCTGACTTCCTTGTAGCAAGTGCTCCAATTCTCAGGCATATGTGCATATTTTTAATTAGCTATTAAAATAAAGAAAATGGGTTAATGAATTGTTGTCCTTCATGTTAGGCGGCGTTTCTATAGTCACGTGCATTTATTTTTAATTATCGTAGAAAGCACCGTTTTTGATCCGCTTTGCGCTTATTCTACGCGCTGGGGTATGCTAAACTTAATTTTAATATTTGCAGCTGAAGCAAGTAGTTTAATTTCGCTGAATTTTGCTATGTACGATACACTGAGTACCTGCTAGTGCAATTGGTTCTTATGGCGCCAATGAGAGGGATGTCATGGACTGTAAAAGTGAAATTTACTATGGAAAATCGTAGTGACTCCTTCAGAAACTCAGGATAGAATTATAAGAAGCCCGCAGTCGGATTCGTGGTACTACTGCAGATCAAGCACACCTTTATATATAAAAGTATAACAGAACAGAAAAGAAATGTTATTGGATTAAATATCAATCGATAATGATGCTGATTTAAAAGTGAAATAGATGACCGTACAGATGAGTGTCGTAGATGGTGATAGTGTATATATATGACATATGTACATTAAG